ACAAAACAGGCAGTTCTGATCCCATTAGATTACCATGGTATACAGAGCAGTTAGTTTGTAATTTTTAATTTCTAAGGCTCAGGGGGAAATTCCACCAGCCTCTAGATTTCTGCATACCACATTGTGTCATGTTTGCTCTTAGAGTTAGCATGGTTCTTACCTTTCTTTGTCTATGTGTGCACATGTGGGTTTTCTTGTAAGCCTAGTGGCAACTGTAGGGGCCGTCAATAGTAATATCAACTTCCATTCCTGAGTGTCTTACATATTAATCACATATTAAGCAATTTATGTGTGGTATCTGTTTTAATTTCATTCTTCTTTGGAATGATAGATAGCTAGGGTTACAAATTCAGTTAATGTGATAAAGGCCACACTGACAATGGTTAGATCTTTCTGTTTTGTTGCCTCCTTGTGATTCCTGAGCCATTGTTCTCATCTACATGGTTCATGGTGACTTGATAACATTTCCCTGTTTCTAAGCCTTGGGAAGGAAGAAGCAGCCCACGTGCAGGTAGTCTGATATGCCATTTTTATTCATATCACCTTTGCTGGCAACTAGTCACAGGCATCTGTAAGACTGGATGAGGACTATTGTCTTTATCTGGGAGTCAAATTTGAAGCAGAAAGTGAAGGGCTTTTGTTATTAAAGAAGAAGTGAATGTATATTGGGCACAAGTAGTAGACACTGCCTCAGGTATATTTTATTATTAGCTGCATTTTATGGACGAGGGACTCAAGCTTATAACTTGGCTCAGGTAAGGCAGACAGTGAAGATTAGCATGAGGGATTTAACCCAAAGTTTGTTTGACTCAGTGGCCTATGTTTTTGTGTCTGTGTCCTCTGCCATATGACTTTGTGGGATACCTCAGTAGTTAAATGGACAAGGCATCAGAAGGAGAACCAACATAACATCTGTGGTGTCTGCCTCTCAGGTTCAGGTTAAACTCCACAGCGGGTCAGACATCCAGTGTTAGCAAACCTATGGATTGGCATAAATGATGCTGAAGGTGGGGGCGCCTGCTCAGGCACAGGCAGAGAGAGTTCCAGTCCCTTGGCAATCAGCTGACATCTCAGCCACATCAGTTCAGAAGACAAATTTCTGCTGTCATCAGCTTGAGTAGTTTTGTGATTTTTGGTTCCTATATTATTAATCAGCTTTCTGTTACTGTGACACATACCCAAAAGAATCAACCTAAAAGGAGGAAAGGGTTTTTTGTTTCCTTTTTTTCTTTTTTCCTTTTTCTTTGTTTTGCTTATGGTCTCAGTTCATGGACCCTTGGCCCTGTTGCGCTGGATCGGTGGCATCAGAGGACTGTCATGGTGGGAGTGAATGGTGAAAGAGATCTATGTAGCTCATCGCAGCCAGGAAACAAAAGCAACAGTAAAGGGCCATGGTCCCCCATGCCCTTTGAGGGCACACTCCCAATAACCTAACTTCCTCCCATTAAGCCCTGCTTCCTGAAGGTTTCACCAGGCCCCAGTAGTGTTACGGGCTGATGATGAAGCCTTAATGCATGGGCCTCTGGGGGATATTTTGGATTCAATCTATAATAGTTCCTTGACAGGCAAATGTGCTTTCTAATGGTAGGGTATTTTACAGTGCGACTCCAGGGAGGCAGGCATATTCTCTGGCCTAGTGAAGGATGCAACAGGCCTTCTTCACAATTTGTGTTCTACAGAGGTTGTCAAATTTCTTTGACTCATATTCTTATTATCTGGAGGCAAAAGAGACTCAGAAGCCTTGTGAAAAACCTTAAAGCTGTATATTTTTAAACATATTTTGAAAGCTAGGGTATCACTTGATGGCTTAGCTATTTTAAGCTCAACGAAATGGGGTAGGGAGAATAATGACACACGGCATATTAGGTGTTGCTGAAGGATATCTTAGGGTGGAGGGACATATTATTGGCATGTAATATCTAACAGAAATGTAATCTGAGCCACATATGTAATATAAAATATTCTCATACCTACCTTACCAAAATTAAAAAGAAACAAGTCAATTACTTTTAATAATAGATTTTATTTAAGCAATATGTATAGAATATTGTCATTTCAGCTTGTAATCAATGTAAACATTTAGAAAGATTTAATGATTTTTTGGTACAGTGTTTAAATCTATCGGATATATTACTGTAAACCTCATTGCAACCTAGCTAAATTTCAAGCTCTGTAGGTATTCTCTGTGGGTTTAGTCCTTGTGTCTGAGAGATAACTCAGGCTTGGAAGGCAATAATTTTCATGAAGAATAGTTGATCTAATTCTGGAAAATAGAGAAGTTATAACCCCAAAGTAAAGAAGAGTGGAAAAACCAAAGAGAAAAAGTTTTAGATGTGAACATGAAGGAAATAGTTATCATCCCTATAAATCCAGCCAGACACGGGCCCAAGAATGTGTTATAGCATCTCTATTCTGACACATAGCTAATTGTTAGAAATATTTATTTGATTGATCTTGAGCCTTACACCCAAACCCTTCAAGAGCTTCAAAAACTTCAGTTACAATGAGATGTGCAATTTTATGTTCTGTGAACAAGAAAGACTATTTTCAACCCGAGAATTTAGAAAATGCTACATATTATATAACACAATATTTATTGTTAATAAAATTTAAGTGATTTATATTGTCTGCTAATATGATTACTTAGACAAATTGGGATAGTTACATAGTCTTTCCATGCTACTTTTACCATCAACACAAATACTGTTCTTATAAATAGATATCTTGTTTCCCCCTTTAAAACGCTCTTTAAAGGAAAACATTGCAAGCAATGAAAAAATTCCAATAGTACTTTATCAAAATTATCTCCAGGAATATAAAATTATTAGATAAATAACAATTTAAATTATGAGGAAAAAAATCTAGGAGAGGAATTTTCGAAAAACAACTTTTAGATAAAAAGATTTCAAATTTATGATGGCCCGAGTTCCTTAGTAGAGTAGAAAAGTAATATAAGTACATACCAATCTTTAGAAGTAGGTGCAGTGGGCAGCTATAGCAAGGAGTGTATGGCTTAGGACCGTTTGGAAGCCTTCATGCACCCTCAGACCCACCTGTGCTCTCAAGGTGAGGCTTTCCCTACAGGTTTATCCATCTGGGCATGTTCAGGAAAATCACAGGATGCTGTGGCTCTGACGCTGTAAGTTGGTATCATTCACTTTTGCATAATGCAAATAGAAAACAAAACAGAACAAGAGAAAGCATTTTTCTGTCCTTCCTTCTGCTGCTGCCCAGGCTCTTTTTCACCTGCTCTACTTTTGCATTCCTTACTTCTGAGGAAAGACTGCTAGGCTCAGCTTCATACTCTTTTTTCTGCTTCCTATTGGCCTTTCTTTGTAGGCTACTAGCAAAAGACATTAAACCACCCACTGTAGTGAATCCCTAGAGGAAAGTACACATATGCAGTTTGGATGCTCATTTTCGGCTTCAGTCTGCCCAGAACCTGTGCTCTATGTTTGTATTCTGCTTTCCTGATCAGAGTATTTCACTGCTAGTAATGCTTTGGCCTAATTATGGTTATCTTTATGAGAAAGGGAAGCCCAGAGTTACAGAAGTTGAAAAGGGATGGGGTAGAGAAAGCACAGCTGCTTAGAGTTTTAAAGAAGAGATAAGGGAATTGGCTTAGGTTCCTAACCTAATAGTCCCAAGGGCTGGGGAGGTAGAAAGGGCATCTATAATATTATGAATATGTATGATGGCACTTAAAAGGCAGTTAATGCATGAGTTCTGAATGGTAATAAAAAGAAATCTCAGTCAGATGTGAGAAGGGATCATGAAAAAACATTAGATAAGAAGAAATAGAAATAATTATAGAAGTGAATATAACAGTCAAGCCAGAAGTGAGTGATGGAATTGCACATCATCGGATTTTTCCTTTCAAATCTTAACTTTCACTGAGGTTAAGAATGATAGAGGATGGAAAATGAGCATAATCAATTTTATGCATTATTATTTAAGAGAGCATAGCTGTAGTTATTGATAAAAGCAGATTTGAGGATTTGGAGGGACCTGTCTCCCTTCCCTGTTTTCTCCTGGGATTTGAAGACGACAGGTGTTTCTGTGCTTCCTTGCTGGACATACATGGCAGCATCTCCCAAGGATGCACACTGGTTGTTAGAGTGCCTCTGTGGACATGAATCACTTAG